CTCTGTGCGCTCAGGGACTCCACGGAGCACTGCTCGGGAACTGCTTTCCAAGCCAAAATCCAGTGGCAGCACCGATGCCGCTCCGTCCKCCTCGCTCCCTAGGCCCTAATCTATCCATCTCCATCCCTCTGTCCCGCGGCTCCCGGGGCGTGGGACGGGAGAGGGAGCTCTCACTGCACCCGCCCGAGGAAGAGCTGCAGCCGGAGAGTAGAGCTCACACAAACCGGGAAAAGCAAATCCAAGGCAAGAGCCGAGAGTCGAGGTGACAGAACAAATGCCATCTCATAGAGGTATCRAGGAATGATTTCTCTGATCCCTGCTGGAGAAAACCCAGGCACACCAGGATCCCAGATGTGCTTCAGAGTGGAATTCCTGCCCCAGCAATCAATGAAAACCCTCAGTACAGGGTTTGAATCATATTCTTTTTCTCCAATACACCTGGTTTACGCACACAAATGGTGCTTAAATTGTTATCTTGTGTGAAATTTACACTCATTTTAATGTCTTCTCTTAAAAATAGGGTCACTGACTCAATAGCTTTTTGAYAAATTCAGATTATCTTTAGTAATGGGTAACACTGCTAGATATGGGTAAATTTTTGTACTTTAATCTATCCCAAACCAGCATTGTCTTATTTTTGTGGAGAACTGGAAAAAATGTAGAAAAAGAATGAACACTTTTCAACAAATTAGATAAGATTAGAACCATATGGATCACTTCCCAAAGAAATTATGAGCTAGGCATTATGAGAATGAACTTAGGAAGTACAGTAAAGTGGGAATGTTTTAGAGTTTTTTGGAGACAAACTGAAAGAGGCAAAGAAAAATTCTGCTAACTCCAAATTCTTTTCCAGCTTCTTCATATTCTCAGCTACAAACACAGAACCCTGTCTGCCTCGATGTTTCCCTGTCTGCAAAGCAGCCATACTGATGTCAGCCTCCCCTCAGGGTGACACTTCAGGGGATGTTAGAATCCTTTGAGCAAAGATTAAAGGAGGCAAAATGAAAACGAAGCACTTCTGCTGTTCCCATGGCATGGCAGARATCAGGTCTGTTTGGGTTGATACAGCATCATGCTTTCAAAACAATTAATTAATTACCTCTACATTTAATCCATAGCTTTCTAGAGCAAACCACAAATTGTTCATTGCAGGCTCAAGCTTGAGATGTTTGGGGAATGTACCAAAAAAATCACGAAATGCCACTAAACACCCATCCTGTCAATCACATTTTAACTTTGAATAAGCTCTGGGTAAGGGCTTTGAAGAAGCGAAAGGATTCAGCAATGGAAGGGTGAATGCAGTAAAGTGCAGCTCTAAAATGGAGCTCCATCATCTTCAGAATAAAATACAAATGTGTATTTCTACATTAAAAAAGCCCAGCTAGAAATGACCTTTATGTGGAGTATGGCCCTTTTGAATTGCTAACTCTCTTAAATGAGAGATTTCTTCTAAATTGAAGATTTTCCATTTGATACTTACTGACTACAAGGAATCTCAGGCAATTAGAGCTTCTAAAGACTGCAAACCATCTCCTAATTATGAAGGTATGTGCAATC